GCCCCTGCCCGTGTCCCCCGCCCAGGGCCACGCGGCCCGGAGGTGGGGGGGGGGGGGCAGAGGGGGGTCTGTAGCCGGGAAACTTCAAAACCAGCAAATGGTCCAATAGCCCCGTAAAGACTCGAACGTGGCGCTGTAGCCGGCAGGAGGCTTCGTGGCGAAACCGGCTCAGCTCAGGGCCCCGCTGATGCACCATCCGCCTCCAGCACCTCTTCAGTCTCCGCCCTCTAGTCTCCTGTCCATGCTCGCTATCCCCAGCCCGTATACACGCTGTTAAACAGTTTCTTTTTAAATTATGCAATATATAAAAGTAAAATCACCTGTTTAGAGTTATGAAATAAATGGTCTGTTTTTAATTCATGCTATTTAAATGTCCAATGAAGCATTTACATTTATACATCGCTCCTCAAATGAGGAATATATTTTTTCTTCCAATAACAAAGTCTCAGTGTGACACCTGTGACTGAACAGTATCTGCCAGTGTCTTGAAGTCTGGGTTGTAGTCTGAGATTGCTAGTCGTACACAGTCCATCAGACGGGCATCTGTGATCCTGCCCTCAGCCTGGGAAGCTTGCTCCAGCACAGCGGGAGCTAGATGCAGCCTCCCTGGGCTGAGCACAGGGCAGCCTGGCTGGAGGGAAGAGAAGTAGCTGCCCGGCCAGCTGGCCATGGCACTCAGCCAGGGTGCACCAAGCTCCACGTGGGCAGGCGCAGAGGAGAAGCCACCGATCAGCTGGAGCGTGGGGCAGCTTCTTTCAGCTGAAAGCCACAGTCAGCTTGCTGGAGTGTTTCAGCCCTCCCGACCTCCCAGCTCCCACCATTCCTTGCACCTACTCACCTGTGTTGTTGCTCAGTAAGTAGCTGCTCCTCAAATGAGGAAATCTAATGTAAATGTACTGCGCAGGCGCGCAGTTCGGAGAGGGCTCAAGAGCTACTCTTAGAACCCCTGAGAGCTACTGGTAGATCACGATCTACTGGTTGGTGACCACGGCAATACAGTTAGCAATATCACAGAACCCCTCGGTAATAGACTCGATGACATTTCAATCCTCTTGGAAATTGGAGGAGTTAGTAACAAACTTTTTCACCAAGTCCTATACAATACATAGGTAGAGTCGACTCTGGATGTCCTTTTGGACACCTCAGCTTGCCAGATATGGAGCCAGAGCTGCCTCTGGGCAGTCTTTGGCATTGCAGCTTGTGTTGCAACTCATGCAGCAGTTTCTGTAGGCTACCTCCCTGGCCCTGCAGGAACTCAATCCCCTACTGCTCTGAGAGACCCTACTTGGATCTCTGCGGGCATTGTTCATGCAGCTGGATCCCGTCCACCCTCCCCATCTCTGGCGTCTGGGCACCAGTGCAGAATTGTGGGACCAGATTGTAATGGAGTGATGGGGAGACCAGCAATGGCTCCAGAACTTCAGGATGAGGAAAGACACCTTTATGGAGCTCTGTGAGTGGCTCACTCCTGCCATCAAGTGATGGGATGCTCATATGAGACCCACCAACTAACTACAGAAGTGTCTCACCATCACCCTCCGGAAGCTCGCCATGATGGATTGCTTCCAATCCGTGAGGAACCAGTTTGGTGTGGGGAGCTCGACCATCAGGGCCCTGGTCATGCAGGTATGGCATTCTTAGCTATTGTCCCAGGAGGGGGGATGGACTGCAGAAATGGGCTTCCCTAGGGAAACAGGGACGGGGTAGGGGGGGAAGTGGTGCAAGCCCCCTTCCTGGGAGGTTTTTGCAGTCCTGCCCTCACAAAGCCCTTCTGGGGGTTGGGGTGAGTGGGTTTCTCCTGGTGAATGTGCGGGGAGGGGGGAAGAAAGGGGTTGGACTGTAGGAACTCCCAGGGGCTCTGGCACCTCTGTCAATCTCTGTTTGTCTCCTTCTACAGGTGGTCAGGACCATCAACTCCATCCTGCTGCGGAGGGTCATCTACCTTTGCAATGTGGACACCATCATTGCTGGTTTTGCTGACTTGGGCTTCCCCAGCTGTGTGGGAGAGGGTGTTATTGGCAGCACCCACATCCCCATCCAGGCCCCCGATCACTGGGCATCTCTCTACACCAGCCAGAAGGAATACTTTTCAATGGTCCTGCAAGCCGTGGCGGACCACTGGAACCAGTTCACCAACATCTGTGTTGGATGGTCAGGGAAGGCACACAACGCGCATGTCTTTAGGAACTCTAGTATGTTCCACAAGCTGCAAGCCGGAACGTTTGTCCCCGACCTCACCATCAGGGTCGGGGATGTGGACATACCCGTCTGCATGGTGAGGGATGCGGCCTTCCCTCTCCTGCATTGGCTCATGAGGCCATACACCGGACACCTCAACCCCTCTCAAGAACAGTACAGTACCAGGCTCAGCAGGGACCGCATGGTCATGGAGGGTGCCTTTGGCCATTTGAAGGCATGGTTCAGATGCCTCCTCACCCAGCTGGACCTCAGGGAGCACAACATTCTGCATGTGTATGTTGTGTGCTCCACAATGTGTGTGAGTGGAAGAGGGAGGCATTCCCTTTCCTGCCAGGATGGGGGGCGGAGGCTAACTGGATAGGCAGGGCCTATGAACAGCCATGCACAGCTGCTATCTGGCAGACCCGTCAGGGGGCTGTGCACATCCAGGAGGCACTAAGAAAGAGTCTCTCCTGGGCCACCCCACTAGGGGCTTCTGCTTCACCCCTCACTGCCTTTCCTCCAACAACCCCTCCCTTCCCCCCTTTCTCGCTGACAAACAAAACATTTGTTTTTGAAAAACTACAAACTGTGATTTTTTTATTTGGGCTGCTATCTGGCAGACCCGTCAGGGGGCTGTGCACATCCAGGAGGCACTAAGAAAGAGTCTCTCCTGGGCCACCCCACTAGGGGCTTCTGCTTCACCCCTCACTGCCTTTCCTCCAACAACCCCTCCCTTCCCCCCTTTCTCGCTGACAAACAAAACATTTGTTTTTGAAAAACTACAAACTGTGATTTTTTTATTTGGGGTACCAGGGCTCAGTGAATTCTATAACCTGGGCAAGGGGAGGACGGAGGGAAAAAGAGGGGTGATGAGACCCTTGGTGGAGGGAGGAGGGAGCTGGAAGGGTTAGGCGGAGAGGTGAGGAGAGGCTCAGGGCTGAAAGTGCACTCTTGTGCGGGACTGCTGAGTGTGTGTGTGTCAATGCCCCCAGCTTCCTTCTAGAGGTGGCTTGAGGAGGGAGGGTGTCCCTCCTGTCCCAGCCCATGTTCATGAGCATGGCAGACCTCTCCATGACACCCTGAGGCCAGCAGCACCCGGGTCTTCTGTGGCAGTCTCCTGGGGCTGTGTGGCCAGGAGCAAAGTGAGACGCTCTCACGTGCACAGGCTGCTGCGTGATCCCTGGGCTTCAAGGGCCAAACGAGGAGTACCCAGCTACCCCTCGTCGTCCACCCCCTCCACTCCTGTGTGAAGGGAATGTGATGGCACTCACATGAAATTCCTTCCCCTGCCTTGAATGATGCCTGGGACACATCTACAGGAAGGGGTACCGGCTCCATGGTCAGGAGGGTGCTGATGCTGGCCTCGTCTGGCTCCTCCTCTACCTCCTCCTCCTCACCTCTCCCTCCTGCAAGGATGATGACGGGTGTCTCAAGCCCGGAGTCCACAACCAGGGTGGGAAGGTACTGCCCCGCCCCCCGGGATGCAGGCCAGGTCTTGAAAAGAAGAGCAAGTGTGGGATTCTGCTCCACAGCGGGAGTTGGCCTCTCTTGTCCTGGCACATGGGGCAGAGCTCTTTTACCTTCATCTGCACCTGCTCCTGTGTGCGGATGTGCCCCTTGTTGGCCAGGCTCTCGGCCATCCAGCCATAGACAGTTGTATTCCTGCATCTGGTTTGGAGATCCTGGAGGTTGGTCTCGTCACCCCAAATCTCAATAAGGTCTAGGATCTCTGCACCAGACCAGGAAGGCGCGCGTCTTTTTCGGCCCCTGGCAGGCTCCTGGGAGCTGTCTGACTGCTCCCTGGGAGCAGCGGAGCTCTAGGTGGGAGCAGCAGACTGGCTCATTTTGGGGGGTCTCGGCACCAGACCAGGAAGGCGCGCGTCTTTTTCGGCCCCTGGCAGGCTCCTGGGAGCTGTCTGACTGCTCCCTGGGAGCAGCGGAGCTCTAGGTGGGAGCAGCAGACTGGCTCATGACAGAGCAGCCAGCAAGGCACCATGGAAGGGCAGGAGGCCCCTTCTTTGAAAATAGCAGCTGTTGCCCTGTCTACACAGCCCCTATTCCAAAATAACTCTGTTGTTCTTCGTAGAATGAGTACAGCAGTCAGAATAAGCCATCCATTATTTCAAAATAACAGAATTTCGGTGTAGACGCTCACAGAGTTATTTCAGAATAGCAGCCCTTATGCTCGGCAGGGACCCAGTTATACTGCAGAGTGACCATATAGGGGCGGCTGCACTACTAAGAGAGTAACCAGCAGGGGCCAGGGGGCCTCTTATCTTGTAGGCCACCTGCCCAAGTAAATGCCTCCCCTCCCCTAAAGTATCAAGTCCCCCTGCTCCAGTGCCAGGTGGGGTGCGGGGAGCCCTGTTGCCCCACTGCACCCCCAGGAAGCAGGAGTCAGGACGGGGCTGGGAGGTTGGGGACGGCTTACTGGGGCCACAATGGCAAAGATGGTGCTGCTCCAGCAGCGGCTCCTCCCAGGGGCCTGAACAGCACGCCCTCTGCTCCCACAACCTCCCTGGGAAGCACTGCTAGGCCTGGCTCCTCTGGAAGGAACAGGCAGCTGGGGCCCGGCAGAGCTGCTCCAGCCCCCCAGAAGAAGCTGCTGTCCAATCTCTCACCCCAGCTCCTCCCCCCCATCCCTTTGCCCTGAGTTCCTCACCCCAAACCCTGATTCCTGCACTCCTCATCTCCTCGGGCCCCTGCTCTGAGCCCCTTCTCATCCCTAAATCCTCACTCCTGCACCCCCTGCACTCCTAGCCTCCTGCCCTGAGCTCCTCCTCACCCCCAATCCTGTCCTGATTCCTGCACCCCCACACCCTGCCCTCAGTCCCAAATAACTCACAAATCACCATATGCATAAGGCATGGCAATTATATATATGTATATATACAGGTGACCCCTGACTTATGACTGCCCAACCTGTGACCCCCCCGCATTTACGGATGCCCTGCTCTGCAAGCCACGGGGCCACGTACTGCCCAGCACAGCCCACGGCCAGCTCTGGATGCCATTCACGCCGTGCCGCTGGACTGCCTACTGCCTGGCACAGCCTCCAGATGGCTCCTCGAGACTACAACTCCCGGAGGCAGAGTGGGCCAGGAACGGAATCCTCATTCATAACATTGCCCCGATGGGCAATAAGGGTTCGATTTACGACGATCCGAGTTATGATGGTTCTCCAGGAACCAATTAGGTCGTAAATGCAGGGGTCGCCTGTATTCAGCTCCCCACGTATGTATAATTACTATCCCCTATGTAGTAAAGTCGCTCGCTGGGGCACCTCTGTCCGGAGAAATGCAAGTGACCTACTGAATTATTTAACTAGAAGCTTTAATAAGAGAACAGCTTGTGGGGCAGGAATAGGAGTTTTGTGCCACACACTGGTTTCCTCTTGTACTGAGTGGATGTGTAATACTCAACAGGGTAGGCTGGGAAATCCCTCAGCAATGGACTTGAAGCCTGGCTTCTGTACTTCCCAGATTCTCACCATTCATTTTTAATTGCTTATTTTGGAATAAGGTGGATAGTCTTCGAAAGTCTCTCATTTTTAAATCTCTTCCCACTGCTTTTGGGGAGTAGCTGGATGCAGAGTCTACCACAGTTATTACCAATAGAGATGCAGCCGTGTTAGGCTGGGGTAGCTGAAACAAAAAACAGGGCTATGTAGCACTTTAAAGACTAACAAGATGGTTTATTAGGTGAGGAGCTTTTGTGGGCCAGACCCACTTCCTCAGATCAAATTGTGGAAGAAAATTGGCACAACCATATATACCAAAGGATACAATAAAAAAAAAAAGTGAACACGTATGAAAAGGCCAAATCAAATTTCAGAACAGAGGGGAAATGAGGCGGGGAGGTAAATGTCTGTGAGCTAATGATATTACAGGTGATAATTGGGGAAGCTAACACCTTTGTAATGGGTAAGATAATTAGCATTTTTGTTGAGACCTCCCTGTAAAGTGTCAAATTTAAGCATGAATAACAGTTCAGAGGATTCTCTTTCAAGTCTGGTGTTAAAATGTCTTTGAAGCAGGATGCAGGTAATCAAGTCATTGAGACAATGCCCTTTCTGGTTGAAATGGCAAGAAACTGTTTTTT